ATAATAGGATAAGTGTATTTTTTGTGTCCTCGTGAGATAAACTCAAGAGTTTGAAAGAATTTCATCTCAATCATGTTTGGAAAAGTTTTGAAATTTCGTAGAAATCTATCCTGAATTACATAAATGATGCAGATTATTTGAAATTCTTTCTATCTTTTGAAAGTTTAGTATTTCCTAGGCACATCAGTTTCGCAATGAGATAAGACATACCTGTACTATTACTCCAATATTAATGCCTTCCAGAAAACTTATCACAGAATATCAGTGAAATTCATCTCTGTGTTTGTGGAGGAATTAAACAGTTTCTTTTCCTTGAAGTAAAGATTTTTTTTTATTATTCAAAACGACGAAAAATCTGTTCAGTACAGTTTAAAAGTGACTATATATAATCTGAAGGTTTTTTTTAAATATATGATTGTATATTCAAGTACAGAGAGAGAGAGAGAGAGAGAGAGCACTTAAAAAATAATGAGGGAATCTGATGTTGAAAACATACATATACCACAAAATTCCTGTATTATTCAAGTCGCATTCAAAGAAATATTAGTGAGGGGTTTTTTTTAAATCATTTTTTAAATTTTTTTATTATTATTGTATTTTTTGTTAAAAATACTAAATAGAAAAAATATACAGGTATTTAATATGAAATATTTTCATAGAATTGTAAAAGAAATTAACCTTCATTTGAAAATGGAAAAGGACATTTTTACAAAAAGCACAATTATGTTCGTAAAAGGTTGTTTTTCTATTTAACATATTGTTGGTTTCACTTTTTAAATTGTTTTCGTGCTTGCAAGTCAGTCCTTTTTAAGTCAATATTGATAAATTTAAGTTGGTATTTCCATTGCTGTACATATGCAATTCTCACCAGATAAACCGATTTACTCAGACTTCTTTTTTCTATCAATCAAATTATATTTACTGGTATATTACTAATGATTATTACTATTCTAACTCTATTTTAATTAATACTTGCTGTATTAAATTATCGATTACTTATAGATACACTAGATGCTAGCTATAGAGAATCATTGGCAACAGTTGTTCTATGCAAGTTAGACCGTCTTCCTAAATTCTTTGTTTGGTTTGAACATATTTTATTGTTTAGATGTTACAACATATCTAGTCTGTCATTAAATTATAATCAAGTAACGCTTCGGTTATACCTTAAAATTGTTTCAAGGTCAACCACATACTTTTTAAAGACCATATAAATCTTAACTGTCTAAAAATATATATGATATAAATTATACAGAATTATGATAACAAACGGCACCCTGACTTTTTATTTTAACTTTAAATTAGTAAACTAAGCTAAAATTAATGTGTTTTAATACTGCCAATGATCTAGATATAAATGATTATTTTTAACAACATAACCATTTTGCACCTGGATTTCCTCTGTTTTAGATATCTCCCACCGGTAGAAACCCCTGGTACAAGACGATCTCCATCATTAACGCAATTAATAGACGCAATATAACTAGGAAGAGAGATTTGTTATCAAGCCTTTCAGAGTTATTCAATCTGGACGCGGATAACGTTCAGGGAATGTTGTATATTAATACCCCACATCACAGGGAAGTATCAACGGAATTATTACTTAAGGTTCATCTAACGCGCCCAGTATTATCTTTGAAGAACCACGAAACAGACAGTGATAGTGTAAGCAAGAGAAAAATTACATAAGCCATACGCTCACTGAAATACACATTTTCAGGAATACACCCCTTTTAATTGTTGGTTAAAAGAAGTAATATTCGTAAGATAAGGCTTTTATGTGAGACATGCTTCGCATCCCTCATCAGATGCCTCGCATCTTTCATCGGACGGTTTCAAAGTTTTAAAAAAAGTTCTATGGTTATAAGCCGAAGGAATCTGATATAATCCTTCTAAAATCAGTTAGAAGCATATTGTTAACCCCCGGAAAGAAATGATGCCCGTGTTATAAACTGGAACTAGAAGTTTTTCTCCCCAAATATCAATGATTTATGGAAAGAACAAATCACAGCAAATAGAAGGAACCTGAAAGAACCATAAAAAATCTCAAAACGTCAGACAGAGAAAACGGTGCTTTAATCAAAGAAGATATATATTTCAAGGAGAATTAGCAACAAATAAAGCGTGTTCTTCTCTGTAATAATTACACTTTGTTATAATAAAACCTCAGTCAGTGTTATGGAAATAATTGAAGTGGTATCAATTGTATATTGTTGTGGCTTATGGCCTAGTTGTATCTTTTACACAATTATGCAATTACAAGGTTGCGAAAGTGCGAATGCAATAATCATTGACGCTTACAATAATTATGACAGAAATAATTATTTTGTTAATAAATCATTTATTTATTGACTGTTAAATTACAAGATTTGGCAGAAAGATAAACACTGAAGACAGGTTTGTTTTCTTGTCTGGGATGTATTTGGTTCCATACAAACCATGCATTTGTAACACACTGTAAAATTGTGAGTTTCGAAACAAAACTTGTAGAAAGAATGACTATATAGATAACAGCAAATATGTTGATGGTTGTTTCTTTTTCAGCAAAATGGGGGTGATTTTAATAAAATAAAAAAACTTTTCTTCACTACTACACAAAAAGAAAGATTTGTTTGTAAATAATTTATCATAATTAAATTTTGTGATTTCAAATAGAGAAAAATTATAATGTTTACAAGTATACATAAAGTTAGATGTCATGCTTTAAGATTCTTCCCCGTCCTACTATCATAGCGGTTTTTTTTAATAATATGGTCAATTTCAGACTATTTATGCGTAAAAATAACTTCAATTATAGAAAATAACATGAAAGTTTAAAATAGCAAAATATTTTTATGTTCAACTTATGTTAAACATTATTGAAACACAACATGCACAATGAGCGAGTAAATAACACATTTATTTAAACAATTGCGTTATAATACAATGTACATACTTTTAGCAGTATGCCTACTATTCTGCAAAACTTTACTAGAAATTTTTATGTGAGACATATTTAACGCATATTGATGACAAAAATTCGCGGTAAAACGTTTTATATCTACTGAACATTTACGTTTAAATCTGCAAAAATTTGAACTTCAGACTTAAACTTTTCATGTAATACATATATTATTTTTTCAATATGATATCATGGTCATGGTTACATAAAAGCATTCATTGTCTTGTTTCTGAACATGCATATTGTTACTTGCATATTCACATAAACATGGTACTAATAAGTTCCTTTAAAAAAAAAGATGTTTTTGCGATTAATTATCTTCATTGTTGCCAATGTTATCATAATATAGCATTGAGCATGCGAAAAATCTTTAATTAAACGTTTTACCGATTATACTACAGCTAAGTCTTGGAAATTTCAATTCATTTTTACCTGAATATACATTTAAATTCTTCATTTTTCATTCTTCAATGAAAAAAATATTTTATGAAAGATAAATCTTTTTGTTCTACTTCCTTTTATATCCACGTATAACGAACATATTCTTGAAATTCTAATTTCCAGATTTAAAAAAAAATGACTTTGCAAAACTACCAAGATTCAAAGTGCTCTTCGAAATTACTTTTATGATAAAGAAAAATGATAAGTGAAACATTTTGAAACTAACAACCATGTCTAAAACTATACTTATAAATCAAATTCAGACATTTACATATACTGGGTAGAACATTTTGATTGTTTTAAATAATTGAGAGGAAACACGAAAAGATATATATTTTGATTCAGCTAGGGTTTTTCCTGATCCAGAAGATAACCATGAATTAAAAGAGGCAAAGAAGGGCATTAAATAATAGAACATGTAAATAAAAAAGAATAAATGAATCCAAGAGCACACACTGGAACATTGATTTAATATTTTTTTCATATTGAATGTTAGGTCATTATTTACACACTAAAATTTCTACGGATTTTCCTTTTAATCGAAATAAATACAAGGAGCATATAATGATGTGACCAGTCGACAGGAGATGCTTAGTTCTCAATGGCACCTGATCCCATCTCTGATGGTTTTACAGGTCTTTTTTGCACTGCTCCGATTTGTATTGCCTGGATTTTAAGCTTAAATACTGTGTGTAAATGGACTCAATCTAATTAAAATTAGATGTTAGATCCCCTAGCACACTCGCTACTAGCACGAGTGTGTTAGCGGATCTAACATCTAATTTTAATTAGACTGAAATGGACTTCGAGATTGAATGAAGAATATGGAGATTACGAACAGTATTCAAGATAAAAAAAACAAACAACGAACGATGGTGGTAAATTGTAAGTCTACATATCTATAAAGGCTATGAATGAGCACCACACATAGGTAAGAATTGTACCAGACAACTTTGAACAAAATACGTTTCCCTGTTATCGTACGTAGCAATGACAGCTATTACTGACTCCCAGGAAACCGTACTTACTGCTAAACATTACCCCCACAATCGACCACAGAGACACCCATTACCTTACACAGGTGGTAAATCGGTACCAGCACCGAGCTAATTGCTCCTCCGCCAGTAAAACAATTCTTATCATTTCTACAACGCACCGTGTAGTGGAGAATATTACTGAGCATATCAGCTCGATACAATTACACCTGTGTGCAGAATATACATAATATAAAAAAAAATCGGTATCATATATAAAGAATTCACTTAGCAATCAAATTTTTGAGTTTCTAGTCTTTTTCTTTGGAGATGGGATAGCTTTTTTTCTTGGAAGACGTATCCAAGAAATAACTTTTTTAACAGATACGATCCCCGAGCGCGATAGCAGACTGCTCGGTTTTTCATTGATGAGAATTCACCAAAATAGCGCAATCTCTTTGATAGCAGTAGAGAAAAAAACTATCAAACAGTTGCTAATGCAGATCACTTGTGCTTTTATGAGCCTCATTCTGGAAAGTAAATTATTTTCAACATAATTTTACGAAATGGTAAACAAATTCCAAACGTTTAGGGAAAATTGCCACAACTATAAAAATGACTGCTCTTTGTTTATTTTAGCTTACCTGATTTTCCAACACCAAGATCTCCTAAGAGTACAATATTATACTCCGGGGCGGGCTTGCCCCCAACCCGCCTTCCACTCATTCTAAATTAATTTTCAACACTGTCTAAGAAGCACTTTATGCGTCCGGTCCATTTTTACGGAATCGATCACTGGGTTCATAAAATAAATCTTCTTGGAATCTCCAGACTCTAACACAAATGAGAACAAGGAGCACAGATGCTTAGAGTCATTGTACCGTATGGTCAGCAGGTATTTGGCATCTGAAAGTAAAAATGCATATCTACCGGGTTAACGTGCTGGCTGCCGTGTAGTATCGTGTTAATTGCGGTCAATTATTACGTAAATTCAGATAATATTCTACATAAATACAGATTACATTTCCTTGCGACAGAAAATAAGATTACACGATTCATGAAACATAAAAGAATATAAATTTCTAGAAAAACTTATTTATTTTTTTTTCAATGATTAATTCTCCACCTACTCTGCAATCAATGCAGATATGATCAAAGGGTTTCGTTTAAAGAAATAAATTACGTTCTTCGCATTTTGTAATATTCTTAATTAAAAAAAGTTTTGAGGTTTCTCTGAATGAAAATGTCTTGTAGAGCAAGAGATGGAAATTCACGCGTAAATTAAATGCACGTAGATAACTCATCGAGTTTCTGCCAATGTAACAATACAGTCACTCTTTTTTCTTTGCTGATTATCATTTTTAATTCATTAACCCAATAATAAGAATTTTGTAATACAAATTGAAAAAAAAACTTTATGCAAAGTATGCAATATTATTATTTTATTTATTTATTTAATTATTTATTGAAAATTAAAAGTTAATGCATATTTTCGAATGAAATGTATCTCTGAAAATTGCATGGTGGATGAATGCAGATAAAATATTACCGAGGTGTATCGGGAAATCGTAGAGCACCTGTTTCCAGGGTTTTAAAATTCGATACATTAAACATTCCTTTGATTACGATAGGATCTCAATTTTCAACAAGAATGAAAACATCATTTATATTGCATGATAATGAAAACTCGTACATAGTTATATATATTTTTAAATATTTATAACTGACTTTTTAATAACAAAGAAATTTAAAAATAAAAAGATTGCAAAAAAAGTTATATGCATTTATAGGCCTAAAAATCATCAAAAAAAACTACCGGTACATACGTTTTCATTTTTTTTATGTTGTTGAATAAATTAATTAAAGTTTTAACTTAATTTTTTCATGTCCGTAACTAAATACATCATATATCATATTACAAAAACAGGAAAAAAAACCTTCTCAGAAAAATCATTAAAACTACAAGCAGATCCTATACTCAATGACAGAAGAAGATTCAGGAGTGCACCTGTCTGAAAACGAAGGAGTACCTGTCCTTCTTGACAAACTACTCACCCCTTCTGCAGATTCTGTTTACATCCTAGCCAAAACAGTGCGGCCTCAAACTGCAAACGTCACGTGCGATACTCCGCGAGATTCACGTCGCGATTAACAAAAAGAAAAAAAGTATTCATAACACAAGTGCCTCTTCGTGAATTAGATTTGCTTTTTTTCTAGGAGAATTGCAGTAATTAGCGTACTTTGCTCGATACATCGAGATTGTTTACATTGTGTTGAAATCGCAGACGTCTGCCCTGCCACTTTCCAGGAAGTATAGCTTTAAACTGCGCATTTGCTGTCTTTCTCTTCCCGGGATCTATCAAAAACACGTGTAAAATAGGTTTTCTCGGGTTTCTGAATTTTATACAAATGGTCACAATATACGCCAGAAATCACTTGATTAAAATACTGAACCAAAAGAAAAATACAGCTTATTAACATTCTCTTGCTATGCTTCGAGAAATTTTAAAGCTTATCATGGTTTTGGTTGTGTTGTCTAAATTCTATATACAATATATTCATTCTTTAGTATATATTAACTATACGATGTGTATTTAATTCTTTTTTTTTTTTTAAATATCTTTACATTATATCCCCCCCTCAAAAAAAATGGTCAGTTTGCTTTTAATCAAACATTTTCGTGATATCAAAGTTTCGTGGTCTGTGGGGAAAATAAGGGTTCACAGGGATTTAATTTCTTGAAATAAAATAACCATCTGACATGTTTAACGTGCAGTCGATATTTCTTTTTCTCAAGTTTTTGTTTAAAATATACGTTTTTTTTTAATAATTGTGCATTCAGTTAACACTTATTGGTAATAAAAGTGTTTTACTGTTAAAATATTATAATTTTTAAAATTCTTTTGTCATCTTTAAAAAAATAATGCAGAAATTTCATTTTTCAGTGTTTTTAATGAAATCAGATTTACATGTAAAAGTGTACTTATATAAAAATAAAATAGTAGTCATTATGATAATAAAATTGCTGTAGTACTCTTCCTAAACGTTAATGGAAGAATCCCCAGAGAAAAATACCTATCGTCATAAGGATGAGAGCATTTATGTTCACAAACCACTTCCACTTTTTCTTCTCTGTAATACTCGTTAAAAGTCGTTTGTGCTCGGCTAATTCCGCCTCAGTAGCTGTCACTGGTTTGGGAGGTTTATATCCACAAATTATATACAAGGCATGGCGCCACTTTGTCATTTTAACTGATCAAAAAACAAAGAGCATACAAGAATATAACATACCTTAACCTTTATCAACCTGGAAAAAATCTTTCCGGATCAGAAACTTTTGGCTTATTGTCCAACGCTTTCGCAAAAGCGGAGGGATATATCCGTCTTACACAAAAACTTTAACCTTGGTCAAAACTTTTGAATGAGAAGAGATAGAACATTCATATTTCACGTGTGCAAAAACACTTAGACATGGAAATCGTTGCACCATAATTTTTTGAATTTGCTTGTTTTGTCTATATTTTAATTCTGTTATTATTTTGAAACCTACCTTCTTTCTTTGATGCTATATTCTCGTTCTGAAGTGTCGTTGACAAGTTATTGAACTCCAACTCCTCTTTAAACGGTTCTCTCTCCTGGAAGCTATGACGTGACCACCATGTCAAGCGGATCAACTGCAGAGAAAATTCGAATTAGATACTACCTATATCTTTTGCGTATGACGAATCTTTGCAAATTTAAGAAATATAGTCATACATGATTATCAAGGTTTATCTCCGTAAACGAGTGTATTTTCGGGTACGGTGAAAGCAATTCAAATGAGGGACAGACCCACGTCATAACAGACATTCGGACGAAAGGCATATCAGCATATAGGAAGTGTGTTTACATTGTGATTGTGCATTTCATATAATCAAAGATAACTTAGAAAGTGATTTGTACGTCTACCATGAGATTTTCGGGCAATAATGAATTTACACAACGTTTGAAAGACATGTTATCAGAATACTATTCTTTTGTAGAAAAAATGCACAAGAAATTGAGATTGGAGATTTAAGCTTTTAAAGGATCACAAAAATGACAATTTGTAAAGTGTTTGAATTTGTAGCAAAGAAACTTCATAGTGAGAAAGGATGGTTGAGAGAGAAGATCAATAATTCATCAGAATTCTTCTTGGGTAAGAAGTGTGGTTACTAGTATTCTCCCGTTTTTATTTATACTCACGTGTTTATCTGGAATAGGATCAGTTAGGATTTGTGATTTTCCCCTATACTAGTTGATACTCACGTGTTTATCTGGAATAGGATCGGTTAGGATTGTGATTATTCCCTTATGTTGTTGATACGTACGTGTTTGTCCGGAATAGGATCGGTAAGAAGTGTGATTATTCCCCTACACTAGTTGATACTCACGTGTTTATCTGGAATAGGATCAGTAAGGAGTGTGATAATTCCCCCATACTTGTTGATACTCACGTGTTTATCTGGAATAGGATTGGTTAGGATTGTGATAACTCCCTTACGTAGTTGATACTCACGTGTTTATCTGGAATAGGATCGGTTAGGATTGTGATTATTCCCTTATGTTGTTGATACGCACGTGTTTGTCCGGAATAGGATCGGTAAGAAGTGTGATTATTCCCCTACACTAGTTGATACTCACGTTTTTATCTGGAATAGGATCAGTAAGGAGTGTGATAATTCCCCCATACTAGTTGATACTCACGTGTTTATCTGGAATAGGATCGGTTATGATTGTGACAATTCCGTTACGTAGTTGATACTCACGTGTTTATCTGGAATAGGATTGGTTAGGATTGTGATTATTCCCCTATACTAGTTGATACTCACATGTATATATGGAATAGGATCGGTAAGGAGTGTGATTATTCCCTTATGTAGTCGATACTCACGTGTTTATCAGGAATAGGATCTGTAAGGAGTGTGATTATTATCATGGCAAAGAGGCTGAGGAAGAAGAGAATGATTGTGAAGTGCAGGAAGTGGACTTTGGAGATGATGGCAGGTCTGAATTCCTCTTCTCCACATTTTGGACTGCCATATCCAAAATCCAGCCCCATTCTGATCACACCCACCAGCAAACCGATAAGCAGTCCCCAAAATGCTCCCTATGTGTATAAAACACAAAGGCGCTTACAATTATTGATAAACGCTCAATGATTTGGACTTTTTCTTTTGATTTAATTTTGAAACCTAGTGTTCAATCTGTACAGTACAATAAATGCAATTATGACCACTCACAGGTTCATTGGTCCTCTTCCAGAATATCGCCAACAGAAAAAGTGACAGGATGGGCGGAGCTAGATAGCCGGTGACAGCTTGAATGTAATTAAAGAGTTGTCCACCTTGAGATGCCGATAAAATCGGGATCCATGCTACACTGATAACCACGAGGATTAAGATAAACACTCTAAAAAATAAAGGTCATTCAGAGATAATGTTTCTTTGACTTTGATTATAAAATTCAAAAGAAGAAAACAATTTGGAGCAATTCCTCTCTCCAAAATTTCAACATGATCTGCAAAGACACCTATCGTTCAGTCGTATGTTGACTGTTTATGGCACCATACCAACTGTAATGCCATTATTGTAAACTACTACAAGTATATCAATATTCACAAAGGTTAACGATGTATCATCTAACTACTGTCTTCATCCAATAAAAAGTATGCCATATGATCAGATTTAATTTGAAATAATCCTCAATCAGCTTCAATATAACGATAGGTTGTATTTTAAAAACAAAATTTTTGACAATATTATATTGAAGTTTGAGGAGAACTTAGATACCCTTGTTACATTAACTTATTTGTCTGAAGTCCGTCTCGGTTTTTAATCTTGTGTAAAACAAAGTCTTGTACATAGAATCAACTGTTAGGGCTTAATATCTTATGCAAAAAATAATAATACATCGATATTGCTACATAAATAAGGGAAATTGAAGTAGAAAAGTCGAGTCTGTAAATTTTATCATAAAGTTTAGTTCCTTGTTTGTTTTTGTTTTTCTCTAGAAAACTATTTTAGTATGAAGAATTTACTGGGCTCTATGATATCTTTTATTTCAAGTTCTCTGGTGCAATATCAAATCAAGGTATGTAGAAAAATTTAATATTATAAATTCAAAAAAAAATATACAAGTAAATATTCCATTTCCAATGAAGAATTAAAGAACATCATTTAATAGTATATAATGTCAAATAACTTTGTTTTTAATTCAACGTGTAGAGTGGTTTTATAAAGTTGTAAATCTGTACTTTTTGAATACGAAAAGACCTGCGATGAAAAAAGTAATATTTTTTTTATATTGTAAGTATTTATATTTCATTCTTAAGTGATCCGCCCTCCACTCAGTTGATTTCACTATTCACCTTATTACACTTTTATCCCTTTAAATTAAATGCCAAAGACCTATTTTTTAGATTAAGAATATTTCTGACATACTCTTCGACATAATTCATAATACTAGTAATAAAACTTCATCTACAGAAAATGAAGACTCTATTACCAGACTCTAGAAACCATTCAGATTGAAGGAGGCTCAAGAAGTAGCAGGATTTGAACGCATCAAGGTTAGTAATTAAATATCCTCTTCACCTACGATTTATGTTTGAATTGGTTAATAAAGAAGCTCAAGATAAGTATCATTTAATAATCATTTCAAAGATAGTTTTATCAGTCTTCATTTTTTTTATTCACTTATGATTAATATATAACCTTGAATAAAATTGGTATCTAAGTTAAAGTAAAGTATATTGCACCAATCCCTTTACTCCCACACATGTTTCATGAAAACAAAATTACTTCTGCAAGCAATTGTATTTACATAATATAAAACTGTTAATAATTATGTGAACATTAAAGGTTTTTCCTGAAAATGAATGACGTAATGTGGGCGTGGTTTATATACCTGCCCACTACCAGCAGTTCTCCCTCCGTGGAGCCAGGGCGCAGGCGCTTCCAGATATCCATGGTGAAGAGCGTGCTGGCACTGTTAAATACTGACGTCAGCGAACTCATAAGGGCCGCCATCATTGCTGCCAGCATCAGACCTTTCAAACCTAAAAAATATATTCCTAAAAACGTCATTTGTTTGGATTTTTCAAATGAATTCAAAAAGAAATGATAATAACTTTTGATGAAAGAAAAAATTATTTTTTGTACAATCAATAAATTATTGAATTGCGGGTCGCTTTTAGCGTACCTATTTTTGTATTCATATGAAATACATGTATACTTTATTCCAAAACTTATACATG